ATGTGCTAATGAGCTGTGCTGTCAGGGGTGTGGCCCAGTATGCTAATGAGTTTCTGCTGTTGGGTGTGGCCTATTATGCTAATGAGTTCCTGCTGGGCTTTTTCTACCAAAAGAGCCCTGGTCAAGACCAACAATAAAGACTTCTTTAAATACAGCGGGAGCAGGAAACCAGCTAGAAAACAGTTGGACCATTGATTGAGCTTGAATTTCTTGGGGGGGTGCTGGACTCGTTGTTAACTCTTGCATTTACGTTCTAATTTGCTACCATCCATTGATCCTACCAGCCACCCATTCCAATTTCAGCTCTGCGTATGCATCTGGGCTTTGAGTGGCTTCTTCTAATAGCTTACCCCCATCCTCTTTTTTCCTGTAACTATAGCTTTTGAGATTTTATTCCAGTTTTGCCTGAAGTAGTATGTTTTGCACACAAAAGCTTACACTTTGAACAAAACTTTGTTGGTCTCAAAGGTGTCACTTGAGTCAAACTTTGTTCTGCTGCTTCTGACCAACACGGTTAGTTTTATACCCCGTCCTTCACTACCTGAAGGAGTCTGGGACAGTTTACAATGTCCTTCCTGTCCTTTCCCCACAACAGACACCCTGTGAGGTTAGGTGGGGCTAAGAGAGCTCTGAGAGAGTTGTGACTGACCCAAGGTCACCCAGCAGGCTTCACGCGAAGGAGAGAGGAATCAAACCCGGTTCTCCAGATCAGAATCCTGCCACTTTAACCACTACACCAAACATTACCTCCTGGACCAGTCAATCAACCTGTCTACTCGCATAGTAATCTACTGGACTGGTCGTCTTCTGCAGCCCTGCTTCAAGTGCTTGGGATGTTTTCTGAGTCCCTGCTGTCTAAAGTTAGACAAGAGGCAACTCAAGAAGGGTCCTTCTCTGCCACAGTGCAAAAATTACAGAACTCCATCCAAGGAGATATTTGCCTGTCCCCTTCCCTCCCTCTTTCCCACCAGTGGGTGAAGTCTTTTTTGTTTCATCTACAGTGCGGTCACACACACTAAATAATCCACTTTCAGTGCACTTTTCAACTGGATTTTTACTATGTGAACTGGAAAAATCCAGTTGGAAAGTGCCTCGAAACTGGACTGAAAGTGGATTATTTCGTGTGTGTGACCGCAGCCCTAGTGCTCTTTCCACGATCCCAGTGCCCTGCCTGCTCCACTGCCACGGTTCCACTCATTCGAGCAAAGTCTCTGAAGGTGCCACCTTACAAACGAGTAAGACTGGCAACTAATCGTTCTCACGCATTCTCTGTGGTGGCTCCCACCGTAGAACGCCTGGGGAGGCCAGGAGAGCTCCCACACTCCCAGCATTCCTCAGAACGTGCAAAAAGGAGATGTTCAGGAGGACATTTTGGTGTCGTGGTTAAGTGCTGGGACTCTATTCTGGGAGAACCGGGTTTGATTCCCCACTCCTCCACTTGCACCTGGCTAGATGACCTTGGGCGAGCCATAGTTCTGGCACAGCTGTCCTTGAAAAAGAACAGTTTCTGTCAAAGCTCTCTCAGCCCCACCTACCTCACAGGGTGTCTGTTGTGGGGAGGGGAAGGGAAAGGAGTTGGTAAGCCGCTCTGAGACACCTTTGGGTAGTGAAGGGCGGGGGATAAATCCAATCTCTTCTCTTCTTCTTTTACCTCACAGGGTGTCTGTTGTGGGGAGGGGAAGGGAAAGGAGTTGGTAAGCCGCTCTGAGACACCTTTGGGTAGTGAAGGGCGGGGGATAAATCCAATCTCTTCTCTTCTTCTTTTACCTCACAGGGTGTCTGTGGTGGGGAGGGGAAGGGAAAGGAGCTTGTAAGCCGCTCCGAGACTCTGAGTGAAGGGCGGAGTATAAATCCAATCTCTTCTTCTTCTTTTTATTACGGGCTTGGGGGATCCCAACGGAATGGAACAGTCTGGGAGGGTGACTTCATAATGGAGCAGGACTGTAGCTTATTCCATCTTATTCCAGGTATTATCCAGCTTATTCCAGGTATTATCCTATGTATACTGCATTGTCTTCAATGTTTGTTATTCCACTTACTACATTGTTCATAGTATACGTTGTTTCGGGCAGTTTGTTGTTTGCATAATCCTTTAATTCTGTATTACAGTATTGTTCACTGGATTTTTTTATGCTGTATGTGTGTGTGTGTGTGCGAAGTGCTGTCCAGTCGCTCCCACCCTATGGCGACCCTGTGAATTAATGATCCCCCCAAACAAACTGTTGTTAACAGCCTTGCCCAGGCCTTGCAAGCGGAGGGCCGTCGTGGCTTCCTTGCAAGTCTGCTGCCTTAATTCTCCAGTTGCAGTAAAAAAAAAAGGACTATAAACAAACAAGCAAGCACTGACAGGTAATTTTAAAAAGATAAACGATAAAGTGGCATTGGACATAGGTATCTTGCATTTGGTGTTTCCGGAAATCCCAAAGCCCGTTCCTCCACTGTGCAACTTACTCCTACAGACTTCTAAATCTAGGAGCTCCCTAAACCAGTGGTCCATTCATACATTGCATCTGACCCTTTAAAGCAGGGGTGTCAAACATGCGGCCCGGGGGGCGGATCAGGCCCCCCTGGGGATTCTATCGGGCCCGCAGCGGAACTGGCTGTCTTCTGCTTCTTCTTCCAGTTCTGCTGCTGCTGCGTCATCGTAGGTTTGCAGCTTACAAATACACACCTGAACAGCATACTCAAGATGGCAACAGCACAGACATTTTGATGCAATAATTCAGAGCAAGAGGTGTCAGTTATCAGAAACTGTTAAATAAACAAACTATTGCAAGAGTGTTAATGTTTTCAGCATGCTTTTATTTTAAGTTAAAAAAACACCATTGTGATCGTGTCCTTTATAAAGTTTATACCTCCGCTACCTGGCATTACATTTTATGACACACGTGGCCCGGCCCAACAAGGTCTCATTTATGTCAGATCCGGCCCTCATAACAAATGAGTTCGACACCCCTGCTTTAAATAAAGAAGCCAAGGCTTGATTCTGCCATTATGTGGAACATCGTATTTCAGTTTGCATGAGCAGAAATGGAGATTGTAGTAGTCCGTCGTAACTAATGTACGGGCTGACTCTTTGCCCTTCACTACATACGCTAGAATGTACCACTATAGCCACTCTGTGTCCCCGATGTGGGGCAAAACGTAGGGTATAAAGGAAATATATCACTCAAATAAATATTAACTGGCTGCTATAATAGCTAATTAATGTAAATTTTATTTATTTATTATTTAGATCTATACCCCGCCCTCCCCTTAACGGACTCAGGGCGGGTTCCAGCAGTCTAAAATATAATACAATTAAACCCACATTAAAACACAAAAGAAGTAACGTAACTCGTATGTGCCGTACAACTCTAATAAAAACCAGATACCTCAGTGGTTGATGGTATTAAGATTTAAGGGGGGTTTTTTTTGTTTTGAACAGTTTGGCTAGTCGCATGAATTAGTTTGCTCTGGAGCCATCCATCCTGAGCTAAGACAAGAATGTGTGAGCTGGAGGCTAAAAAACTGTGAGCTAGCTCACACTAACTCAGCTTAGAGGGAACAATGGTTGCCAAGTGTAAATTCCTCCGGAGCGGGGGACTCCCATGTGGCGTCTGGAGTGTGTGTGCAAACACACGTCACCTGGAAGTGACATGACGATGCCGGGCACGCTGGGGGCGGGGCCACGACCATCCGAGGGAAAACCATAGAGTTTTCCCTTGGATGACCGTGGCCCCGTGCCTGGCGTGGTCGTGTCACTTCCAGGTGACGTGCACGTCGGGGTGGGGTTCCCCCCGGGGCCCAATCCGCCGGCGGCAGGGAACGGGCCTCTGGGGCGGAGGTTTCCCCGCCCCCGGGGGGGACTTGGCAACCCTACAGACATCCCTGGGACTGGGGACCACCAAAAGATGTTGGTTGGTGGACCTCAGTGCTCTATCCTGGCTTTCCTCTTGGCTACAGATGGCTATGTTTAGTGCAGCAGCAGCAGCAGAAGCAGAAGAAGTGGAGGAGGAGAGTTGGTTCTTATACCCGCTTTCCTCTACCCTAAGATGTCTCAAAGTAGCTTGCAATTGCCTTCCCTTCCTCTCCCCACAACAGGCACCTTGTGAGGTGGAGGGCTGAGAGGGTTCTAAGAGGATGGTGACTGGCCCAAGGTCACCCAGCAGGCTTCATGGGGGAGGAGTGGGGCATCAAACCCAGTTCTCCAGATTAGAGTCCACCGTTCAGATTAGAGTACCACACTGGCTCTCACGCAGTGAACACACAACCCGGTTTCTAAAGCCAACCTCACGGATTGTGTCTGCAAAGTTGCACAGTAACGCATGAAAATCCAAGTTGCAGTTTGACAGAGAAGACTTGCAGAAAACACTGCATAGGCATACTGAAAATCAGGTGAGCAAATAGCATCCCCTCGTAGATGAAATATATGGAAACTTGTTGTCCTCTGCAATAATTACTTTAGCCGGATAACCATTTAAAAGCATGAAATTAATAACTATGCAATGGGAAGCATCCTTAAGACTTTACATGAAATTCTAGTCTGGGGTCATATGGATATGATCTGTCAGAAGCATTCTGCTGTCTTCCGAAAATCTCGGGTCAATTCAAAAGATTTCTCCATCCATCTGGGTTATACAAAGTGGTGCAAAAGATCTTCTTCTTGGAGAGGCTGGGGTTACAAGTGGCAGGACTGATAATCTTATTTTCGACATGCCGATATGCATGCAAAAACAGATGCAAAAATAGTATTTCCCCCATCTGAACCACTTCAATCTATGCTCTATCTCCTCAGTCGGCTGAATCCACACTCATCACTAAGACAATGAGCACTGCAAATCTAAACAGAATGCTAACTGCAAGATCTAAATGCCAAAATCTAAATCTTAAAGGGCACCTGCTTCAAAACGTGTTTACAAAATCGCTTCTCTCTCATTGTTACACATAATACAGTTTCTTCGATCATTGCCGAATTGAAGGACACGATGTGGAAAAGGCACCGTACCCTTAACACTTACCAGGCTGTTGAACTTGGAAAAGACATCAGTGGTGGATTTAAAGCTTCCTCTTTGAACGGATGCACAGCCTGTGATGTCTGAAGCTGAGGTGGAGGCTGAGTCTGTACTTGTCTTGGGTCCTGAGAAGGTTTAATCCACCGGCTTGGTTCCGGCTTCATCCATTTTCCCTGGATTCCCCATCTTGCTAGGTATAGTTTGCAAATATCATAGTTCATTGAAGAGTAATATAAAAGGTCTAGTACCAGCAAGACCACAACAAAAAACCCATAGATCCACACTCCTAACAATGCACTGTAATTACTGCAAAAAGAAATAAGAAAGCAGATGTTAATCACTGTCCATTATTTTTGTAAGTCTAGTCATTCAATTTATATACACGTGCAATATATCTTTCAGAACTTTTATTATTTACTTATGTCCCTCTTTCTCTCTTCCCAGTGGTCTCCTACGCAGGTGTAAATGATAACTTTGGCTTCCACGGTGCTATACCATTGGGTGTTCCGGGGCCATTCATTTTGTTGACGAGGATTTAGACTTGCTCAGCACAGAGGCAAACAATACATTTCTTCACCTGTTTACGCTTGGTTGCCCACGCTCCCTGCAGACCCAGAGCAGCAGGGGGGAACTGCTTCTTAAAAAACAAAACAAAAAAGGACAGCCCAAATGGGCCTAGAACAGCTCTGTGGGAGAGGAAGGACTCCTGCCTCTCCCCAGCAGTTTTCTCGCTCAAAAACCATGCCGGGGGTTGGTGGTTATGTCACTGATTTTGCTGCTCCGTGTAAACAGATACTTCACATGGAGCAGCAATATCAGTGAAATAGCTCCATCCAATGCCATTTTCGTATGAGAAGACTGCTTGTGGGGGAGGCAGGATCCCTTCCTCCCCCTAGGGTTGTTAGGTTCCTTTGTCACACCGGCAGGTGGATTTGGAGGGTGTTCCTGGGGTGGGCGGGGACGTCATCATGTCAGCAATGTCGGGGGTGATGCTCTACTTTTGGGGCAAAACTCTATGGTAAAAACAGCCTAAAATCATAGAGCTTTGCCCAAGAAGCAGAGTGTCACCCCCCCAATGTGCTGATGTCACTTCCGGGTGACATCATCAGCATGTTGCGCATGGCATTGGGAGTGGGGGAGATTTGCCCCCACGCCCACCTGGGAAATGGTATCCCCCCCCCCCCCCATGGCGCCATTCTGAACCTGCTTGAGCGCTCTCCTTTTTTTTTTTAGAAGCAGTTACCCACATCCACTGTGGGGAACCTGGGCAAATGACTGCAACCAAGTGAAGAAATGTATTGTGTAGTTTGCCTTCTAGGCGCTTTGATGCCTAGAAGAGCTGGACAAAAGCAAAGCATGCTTTTGCAACCAGTGTTCCCTCTAAGCTGAGTTAGTGTGAGCTAGCTCACAGTTTTTAAGCCTCCGTCTCACACATTTTTGTCTTAGCTCAGGAAGGATGGCTCCAGAGCAAACTAATCTATGCAGGAGCCAAATCGCTCGCTCACAACTTCAATGCCAGTAGCTCACAAAGTAGGATTTTTGCTCACAGGATTCCACAGCTTAGAGGGAGCATTGGTTGCAACAGTACTGGCTGTACATCTAGGGACTAGTTTTGGTTTTTCCAAGGTGGAGTCAGAAAGAGGTACAGGAACATGTGACTAAGAATTAGGATGGGGGCACTAACATGCCTATCGTGGACACCCATGGTCTTACCTATATGTTTCCAAAAGGCTACACAGCTTAAGATAGAACAGGTGGCTGAAGGTTCCACCCATATCTACAAACGTAAAGTGAGAAGGACGTGCAGATATCAGCTTCTAAAAACCAAGCTATGTGATCAGCAGAAACACATGGTGTGGCTGTTGCTGGACATTAACACTTTCAAATTTCAGATCACCTTTGAATGCTCTGCGACATTAAACAATCTTTACAGCACACACAAAAATTGTTACAGCCTGAGTCTTTCCTACATTATCTTAGGCAGAATGCCACTCAGATTACAGTTGGATGCTAAAATTATGCTTGAAATGAAATAAGGAGGAAAAGGGGGAAAAACCTAGACATTACTTTTGTTACTCCAATAAATAAGGAAATTAAGAGGGGGAAAAATCTATTTGGAGATTGTTCACTTTACTCCAAAGGGATTTCCCATCTTTCAGCTATGTTGGCTTGATTCTCCTCCCATGGCCCCTATTAACTAGTCCAGTGTTGGAACAGAACTAAATTCCAGTAACATGAAATAGATTTTTAGCCAGATGGGTTTTACAGTACAAAATACATTTCAACTGAGGTTTGTTTAGCTGTAGAGTGGGTTTTTTCTAATCTGCAGGACGGTAGGAAGAAGCTGGTGCATCCTCTTGCGGAGCTGCTTTTAAAGGGGGTGAGAAGCCTGCTGCTTAAAGAAGATATGGATGTCCAAAGCAGATGGGAAAGGAAGTATCCATACCAATCAGTTCTTCGGCATTACTGGAGGATGCATAGTTAGGCAAATAATGGTCAAACACTGCACTAATTGGCATCACCAACAGAATCAAACCATTCCTAGCGTTACCACAAGCTCCATTAGAGCCATGCTACTATGCATTAAATAAAACACATATCACTACTTAATATTTATATTTATATAGCACTTTCCCCTGCTGAAGTGTTTCACCTATATCACTATTATTATTATTAATCGTATGGCAGAGTTTACACACAGGCAGCATATAATAATACAAAATACGTAACCAAGTTGGTACAACAAGTATGCAGACCGATTGGGCAATCCCCATAAATACTATTGTCGAAATTTTCAATCCACTCAATCGCAGCTGGAGAGAGTTCAAAGAGCTCTGTCACATCACCCTGGAAAGCACGACGCTTCTTGTGACAGATGGAAAATAGTTTGGCAGGCTGCACCACAGTCGCATTCGGGTCCTGTACAGCTGCCAAGGCCTGTTCATATTTTATTAGCCGTCTTCCATACTTAATGTAGCAAATCAAATCCCGGGGGCCTCTCGTTGGTGTTTACCTACACCACTAATTCCATGCAATGACTCTGCAAATGTAGGTCATTATTATGCCCTTATACAGATGGGGAGATGACAGTGAGTAAAAAAAGTTTGCTTGAAATTATTGGTGAGAATGTGACTGAGGTGAGATTTGAGTTAAGAACATGCCATTCATTTCACTGCTCCGATGCATTAGTTCTTAAAGGTATAATCTATCCTAGACTGTAGACTCAAAGGGAAAAAAGAACATAAGAGAATTTCATCCAAATAAAACAAAACAGACTACAAAGGATCAGAGCCATCGTTCTTCCAATCTTGTGGAAGGATGACGAAACAGAATTTCAGAGGGACAAGGAAAAAGGCACCAGAGGATATGAGGAACCTTCTACAGTGGTTGGTTAACAGTGCGCGCGCACACACCTTTCTCACACTGTGTCAGAGAGTAAGGAATAATTTGATGACTGTAAAACTAAATTGTGTTACATTTTTTTCCTGAAAGGTTACAATTAAACCTCTTGAGTTTAAGGTGCCTAATTTATCACCTAACGAAAATTCATTAAACTACTTTACTGTGCAAGGAAAACTGAAAATATTATCGTCAACCTAGGGCTGGTTTTTCCACGCCACAGAATGAAGCTGCTTCCATGTCGTACAGTGATCCACGCTGTCTATTATGACAAACCTGATAACTATATCAGTAAATAACCCCACTTCTTTAGCTCACAACTGAGGTTTTGATAAACTACAAAGTGCAGAAATAACCATTACAGGGAAGGAGGAAGGAGGAGGGAGACAGAGAATGCTCTCTCTTTAATGTTGAGTGAAGGTTCACCTAGAATATTCCCTACCACAGTTGAGCATGTCCAGAAGAGGGCAACCAGGATGGTGAGAGGGCTGGAATCCAAGTCTTATGAGGAAAGGCTGAAAGAGTTGGGTATGTTTAGCCTGGGAAAGAGAAGGCTTAGAGGGGACATGATTGCAGTCTACAAATAACGGAAGGGCTGTCATGTAGAAGATGGAGCAGATCTATCCTCTCTTGCTCCAGATTGCAAGACTAGATCGAATGGGTGGAAATGACAAGGGAGTCGATACCAGCTAAATATCAGGAGAACCTTCCTAACTGTAAGAGTGGTTGAGCAGTGGAACAGACTGCCTTGGGAGGTGGTGGGTGCTCCTTCGCTGGACGTTTTCAAGCGGAGGCTGGACGACCATCTTTCGGGTATGTTGCAGGGCTATCTTTTGGCTGTGCTCCTGCAGCGTGCAGGGGGTTGGACTAGATGACATGCGAGGTCTCTTCCAACTCTAGTATTCTAGGATTCTATGATAGGTTTCTGGCCCCCATCCCCATTCTCATTGTAGCCTTGCATTCGAAGAGCTGCCTGGTACACTTGATTGACCTTTTTGGACCCATTTTCCTTATGTAAAGTGAGACCGGCTGCGACGGCTGCTCAGCTGATTTCTTTGCTTCAGTTTATGCAAATCCAATTAAGAGTGCAAATCCAATTAAGAGGGGCAGGGTCACGTTCCCCTTGCCTGATGGAGGAAAGAGCTGTCGGGAGTTGACGACACTTCAAAATTCATGTGAATGGCAGCATCTAAAACGGCAGCAAGGCACATTAACCAGACAGATTGCTTCTGATTTTTTAAAACATTTTGGAAGGAAGACCGTATTGTTTCTGCTCTTCGTCTTTAACTGCTCATGTTGAGAGGAACTGAATGAAACTGACACTGCAAGGGGAGAAGGACAGATGAACTGATACTCTTCTGAAGTTGCTCTTTTCTGATTTATACACCATGAAGTGGAGAGTAAAGGTAAAGGTCTCCCTTGCTCGAAAGCCAGTCGAGTCCGACTCTAGGGTTGCGGTGCTCATCTCCGTTTCAAAGTCGAAGAGCCAGCGCTGTCCGAAGACGTTTCTGTGGTCATGTGGCCGGCATGACTAAACACCAAGGTGCACGGAACGCTGTTACCTTCCCATCAAAGTGGTCCCTATTTATCTACTTGCAATTTCTTGCTTTCGAACTGCTAGGTTGGCAGGAGCTGGAACTAGAGATGGGAGCTCACTTCGTCATGCGGCACCCGGGTCTCGAACTGCTGAACTACTGCCCTTCCACAGCCTGCAGTTCAGCGTCTTAACCACTTGAGCCACCGCAGCTCAAGTGGAGAGAGTTGCACATAAATACCTTCCCGATCAGGTCCCCAGTGCTTAGAAGGGAGAAGGGACAGATTCCCATTTGAGTGAAATCAGTCTTCACTGGTTCTTTGTGGTAACAGAAGCCAAGCAAGGACTCAGAAGCATAAACACCAGGGCTATT